CACGATGTCTAAAGACACATCGTAAGAAAAACACCTACGTTCAACATCAAAGGACTAGCATCATCACTTTTAAATCACTATAGACGCGGCTACCCAGCCTGATTGAGTATCGATTACTGTTTTATTTTACTCCACTGGGAAATTAATACAAAGGTTTTGATCACGTCATACTTATTGCTGATTAAAAAATAAAAGAATGTATACTGGTGCTCCCACAGGCTATACAGCTATAATTGAATTTAGATGTGAGGCTGATCCCAAATATCCATAATTGAGTGCACAGGTGGCGTATTGGTTTAAACGGTTGCATAAAATCCCCCTACCCCTAATTCTGGGAAAGAACGGAGAGACTCAAAAGGCGGAAACGTACTTGGGACTATTACTCGTAAGTTGCAGGTGTCAACAGACCTTGTCATCATATGAACTACTCGTAAACCCACTATACCATTAGAAAAGCAAAATATCATTTTTTTTCTTTTTTAAAAAGACAACATTAGGAATATATCCTGTGTCGCGGGAGACTTTACAAACATACATGAAACGGGCACAAAGAACACCCAGACTCAGAACAGCAATTTTTGGATCACACAAAGTGTCGTCCCATGTGGGGATCGAACCCACAACACTCAGCGTAGTAGTAAGTGTCGTGGCAACCGCTTAAACCACTATGCCATCCGTGCAGTCGTTATACATAGAATTATACATAGCGCACGTTATACACAAAGCAGGCTTAGTATTTATATGATTATTTCCTACCATTTGTCAGACGTACCAATGCGAAAACTGCAATGTCCGTAAATTTTTCACAATTTCATAAATAGCATTGTAAAGAAAAAACATTATAATTTTTTCCGACGCGAGTTTCGGAAGAAGAAATATTATTCTTTCTACTAAGCCAGTTTCGAAAGGAAAAACATAATTCTTATTTTAGAAACTGCTTTCGAAACTTTGTTTCGTAGGCGGCCGAAGGGAGCTATTCGAAACGAATCAACTTTTCACGTCGCACAAGAAATCTCGAGGACAAATTATCGCCTTCGGTATGTTCGGACCGATACGATCATCAATTTATCTCTTATCAATTTCTTCAATAACAAATTAATCCATGTTATTTTTCTGATGGACATATCTTCACGTTTTTATCTCTTAAAACTACAATATTTAATGCCACTTACGTAATTACTGGGCACATATATTTCGATTATGTATTGTGTTTATATTTTTTGGACTACCCTATACCAACCCGTATGGCCAGTGTGGTATAGAAGGCCAAAACCTCCTTTTCAAGGAGACGCCTATGTCCAGCAGTGGACTATCAAAGGCTGCTGGTGACTACTATCATAATTTCCTTTAGACTAAGACAGCTGGAAACTTGATTGTAACAAAAAATACCACTACCTACAAAAAAAAACATTAGTACGTCATATAGTTTAACATTTCTGCATTTACTTAATTAAGAAAGTAGTAGTTTCTTTCAATAGTTTATGTACGATAAAGAATTAGGCAGTTTTTTAAAAACAACAGTACTTAGTTTCTTTTATTTGTCAATATTTATAAAAAAAAAACAAAAAAAGCCAACCTGGACGGTAACGAGCTAACCGCAAGTATAATGGTGTACAGCACATTTAATTTTTCGGTCCCTTCAGTTTATTTAAAGCCAGTTTTCCGAAACACCTTGCTTCAGTGAGGACCACAGCCATACCACACCTTATAGAAATACCTTATTCACGAACAAACTTCACCGAAAAAGCACACAGTTTAAAAAGATTACTAATATTATTTTTATACATAGAATAAATAAAATGTCAATCAAATATCAAGGCCATTTCGTTATAATGGCACATGGAATGCTAAATTGACATAGAGAATCAACGACCTGCCCCACCGAGTAGTGGGCCTATGGGGTCAATACCGTTGTGACCCGAATATTATAGCAAACGCAATGTAGTAGAATATTTAAAAGTTACTATTAACATGATTGTAGCCAATCACAAACGACGTATGACGCCCACCAACAAAGTGGGAGTGGGATTTGGGCCGGCTTGCCCACGGTACTTATAGGGGGAACTCTTCAGAACATCACAAATTTTATGACTTTTTTTCCTTTAAGGTTTTATTTTTAAGACAACTCCCGCACTAGGAATATATCTTGTGTCGCTGGGGACTTTACAAACATGCATAAAACGGACACAAAGAACAAGAATTTATGAATCACATAAAGTGTAGATTCTTGTTGATGTATTTACTGTGTTTTTAATTTTTATATATATTTATTTTAACAACTAACGAGCTTTACCATGCCACGCTACGCTGTGGCACATTGTAATTGCATTGGTGAAACATGAGGAACAAAACTACCACGAAAAATAGATAAAAATTATCTTTAAAGCGGGGTGTATATTGTTTAAATTTGAGCTGATTGAGCTCAAATTTTTGAGTTTTTGTAGCGTACACAACTTGACATCCATACTTACTAATATTATAAATGAGAAATTGTGTCTGTCAGTCTGTCTGTCTGTGACCTCTTTACGCTTAAACCGATTGAGATGAAATTTGGTACAGAGATCGCCCGAGTCCCAGGAAAGGACATTTTTTATCCCAGAAATCATCCTTAAAGGGGGGTGGAAGTTTGTATGGATAATCAATAACCGTTCAACCAATTTAGATTAAATTTGGTATGAAGATTATTTAGGAAAGACATAGGCTTACTGCGTTGACCGACATTTTCGCGGGTGGAGCCGCGGCCAGAAGCTAGTTTTTATGAATAATATAGATTTTCGCTATACCAAATTATTGATGGGTTTTGGCGGGGTATCACTTTAGTACAAAAACTTCACTACAGTTACATAAATCTTACAATGTAAGCTTTCATACATTTTAATGTTGCAATAAAAACAAGTATGTCCAAAGTCGTAATAATTATTGACTTGACACGTATCTATATTCCCAGTAACTGTGTTGTCCCATTAGTGATGAAATCAAGATTTTAGTTAGGTACTAACAACCGACGCGACTGTGTAATTTAGGCCAACATAAGCCATGAAATTCATTTTACATCGACTTCAATCCAAAACATTCTTTTCTTTTCTACTTTTCTTTAAAAAAAGACAACTCCCGAATATATCCAGTGTCGCGAATGACTTTACAAACATACATAAAACGGTCTCCAAGATCACTCAGAACAAGAATTTGTATATCACACAAATTATTGTTCCATGTATTTCTCATGACCCAAGTGTCCAATATTATTTTTTACTACTTAAATAAAAACCAAATTAGGTTTCATTACATATGCATAAACCTTGGAAAAACATCTAAGTGATAGTGAACACAACATCAAAATCCTAGTAGGGCACTAACATACGTAATTTAGTCAAAACTAGCGGATTTACAGCCAATCTATGGAACAAGTTATCGTCTGCGGTATTGGCGGACCGATACGACATTCAAACCTTTAAGAAAAGAGTGTATTCCTTCCTCAAAGGCCGCCAACGTGCTTGTGAGGCGTAACTCCTGAGTTGCAATCGTTCACGGGTCAGTCAGTTTCCATCAGGTGACCCGTCAACTAGTTTCCCTGCCTAAATCACTACAGACAGACGCGTAAAGAGACTTTGTTTTATACTATTAATAAAGATAATGTATTTACTCAAGTCTTTATTGGAAACAAAAGTTACAAAACTTCCCTCCTGCTCATTAATTGTTACTTGAAAACTCTTCCCATTATTGAATATGCTGATCTCAGCTTTTAGAACCTTGCCTTAAATTAATTACATAAAGTTTAGAGCCTTTAAAATATCTACATGATGGTATGATTTTTTTTATGGAAGAAGGGGTAAATGAGCAGACTTGTAACCTGATGGAAAGCGACTAAAGTCACAAGCGCGTTGCCGTCCTTTGAGGAAGGAGTTCGCTCTTTTCTTGAAGGTTTTAAGGTCGTATCGGTCTGGAAATACCGCAGACGATAACTTGTTCCACAGGTATACAGTACGAGGCAAAAAGTGTCTTGAAAAGCTCACAATGATGGAGCGAGCGATGTCAAAACTGTCTGTATAGTATACATGACTTCAGCAAGCAACAACAGCATTTCTGCCGTGGGATAGCCATCCACATCACATCCACATCCGCAGCCTTAATTAGTCCACTGCTGAACATAGGCCTCTCCTTAGAAAGCCATGGATAGCCATGCCTCGCCACATATCAGCGGGCTCGTGATACCACGGCCACACAGAAAACCCGTGTTCAGCTATTCTTTCATTGCCTGAGTGAGATTATCGAAACCCAAGCCGTCCCTCTCCCTGATTCTGGAAGGAGGGACTCCAGGAGCTGTAACGCAGTTATGACTCTTGAGTTGCAGGTGTGCATGGGCGACGGTAGTCACTTACCATCAGGTGACACGTCTGCTCGCTTGAAACACTAAAGTACGAAGAAAATTTACTCTTCATTTTCAGGGTTCCGTACCCGTACCTCAAAAGGAAAAAAACGATACCCTTATAGGATCACTTTGTTGTCTATCTATCTATCTGCTAGGTTAACGTAAAAAAAAGATACGGCGGATCAAAATTCATAGGGGACTTCCCGTTGTCCTATAACCCTGAATTTTGGCAAGTAATATCGTCTTATACTACAAGTACAGAGAAAAATCTGAAAACTACCCTTTTGAAAATGAATCATTAAAAAAAATCTTAAAGTTCGTAATCAATCATCGAGTTACAATTTCTGTTTTTAAACTCAAGAATATAAGTAATTTTAGGTTTGAAAACTGAATTTCGGGCTAAGCTCGAATAAAACTGCGAAACTCGATTCCTTAACTATTTATAATACGTACCTACAGATGTGGGCAAGTCCGACTCGCTCTTGTCCGGATTTTTTAATAATTATTTTCCTGAGCTCGGTGACCTTAAAAAATGTAGATAATTTGACAACTCTAACAGCAGTTAATCTTCTTTCATCAGGTCATAACAGCGAGCCGTTGCCTTGTGCTGTGCGCGGACAGTCGCAACGAAATGGAGGCGTGGGCAGGGGCACTGCGGGGAGCCCTCCACGGGGGTGCCGATGTTGCTGATTTGGTCGCACGGTTTTCTTCAGGGGATCATCACTGGTAAGAATTTAAAGAGTAATTGCATTTTTACTTCAGTACCATGAAGGTGTTCCTGTTTACTATAGGATCTTAATATCAAGAAGCATATACCTGTGCAGTATTGTGACACGAGTATTATAGACGAATACAATGCAGTCGAACTTTAAGTTTTGTATGCAGGACAACAGCACTGCAAAGAGAAGAAAATCTTGACAAAAACTATATACACACCTGTCTGGCCAGCGTGGTATAGAAGGCCAAAATCTCCTTTTTAAGTAGAGGCCTATGTCCAGCAATGGACTATTAAAGGCTGTTGATGTGATGATCATGTGAAGTGCAGTACCAACTCACAAATGTTTATGACATAATATCCTAACCTACATATATAAGTAAATGCGAATGTGAATTTGTTTGTTTATTACGCATTCGCCTTAACGCCTTAACTACTTGACAGATCAGATGAACTGAATGTGGGTACACAAGAAGATATATTATCATCCAGAAAAGAATGCCCTCCTGTTCCCGACTATTTAATAGAAGCGTTAAAAATGCCTTCAAAGCAATATTACAACATCGTTTCCCTCAGGTATGCCGCCACACACGCTCGCCCAACATTCTGCAACGTGTGTCGAGAACCGCTCGGTGCTCTCGGTACTGCACACGCTCTCGCCTGCGAGCTATGCAAGTTCAAAGCCCACAAGAGATGTGCGTCACGAGCACCGCCGTCTTGCAAATGGAGCACCCTGGCATCCCTCGGCCCTCACCTTGTAGAAGACGCTGATGGGGTGAGTTTTCTATTAAAATTACAACTCGTTTTGTTTCGATTATTATTTAATTAAAACCTCGTACCTTGCGTAGCGTTCTCATAACTTTATATTCCAGAATAACAATGGCGCTATTAGCCATTTCACTTTGTTATTTCTCGTGAACAATTAACAACGCTCTTATAATTTTTTCGCTTAAAATTATATTCGCGAGAAAGAAAAGAACATTGTTTAAACATTTTAGTCCTGAACATTTTGGTGCTGGACTTTAAAATAATAAGAGTGTTACAGAAGAGTGACGCCTTAACCCATCTCAATTTATTCACTGCGTAATTGTCTTTGTTTGGTTTCGGTCCTGCTATAAATTATACACTACAAAATTAGTTTCTAACTTCTGACGTTCTCAGTTCTGTCTAAAAGTTATGTTGCTGGATTCACCTATAGTTTCTATGACCCGAAAACGAACACAACGAGGATAAAGAGGACATAGAGGGATTTTTGTTTAGAAAATCGCGTCCATTGGATTTTACCACGTGAGATGTCAAATGAAAGGGCTTATTGGGAGGGTTTTCGTTTTCGAATTAGAAGTTCAGGCTTTTTAAACTTGTTGTAGAAATAGATGAAATCTGATCAATGAGCCTACGGTTTTCAAAAAATACAAAATAGTACTTTACTCAGAGACTGCTTTTTTGTGGTATATTTTCTAAGTAACATAAACATATACAGGGGTACATCTCACTCTTTATTGAACTGACGAGTGATAGTAATGATTGAAAGATGTAATCCTACCAAAAAAAATGTATGTAATATTACTAAGAAGAGACCATATAGTTTTCACTGTCAAAAAGTTATCAGATCTCATGTAGAACCAAGCTTCTAACTCTGCACGCCCTAACTCTACAAGCCTCCTCCTCCTCTACACCTTAGTCAAAAATATTGTGCCCTGGCCGTTTTGTTACTACAAGAACTACTGGTAAACAGAAAAGTAATGAACAGTTAATAAATTTTTCACTTTACGCCCATGTGACGGTAGATAAACGGCAAAACCGGCCGGTTTGTATTCTGCTCACTGTACTTTCTTCCATTATAAGATATGCTTTACTACTGAGTACCTCCTCAATGTGATCCAACTGAAAAAGTGTGCAGTTCCCAAATGTTTATTAATTTATTTCAAACTAAGCAGAAAAACGAAATTGTACCATGGCGGACTTACGAGTGATTTCACAGGCATTTTCTACCTTTAGGTTGGTGCATAAATGATTAGGGGTGTTAGACTTAAGTGGGAACAAAATTGTTAACTAGTTAATAAGAATCAAAGAGACACATCTAATATATAAAATTCTCGTGTCACGGTGTTAGAAGTTGAACTCCTCTGAAACGGCTAGACAGATTTTCGTAAAATTTTGTGTGCGTATCGGGTAGGTCTGAGAATAGGCCAACATCTAATTTTATTTTTTTTGACATTTTCTTTTGAAATACTCTAGTGTTTATATAAATACGAGTACATACTCAAATACATAAATACACACATATTCACAAGCATAAATGATATAAAATTCATTGCTTTTATGATGAATCTGCCAGGGTTTAGTGTTACAAAGCGCCTTTCTTGGGTGAAGTCATAACAGCTTCCACGCGTCGAGGATGATGATGAGACGTGACTTGTAGGCTTTCGATAAATACAGGGTAACAAGGACTCAGCTGATCTAACGGTTACTTGACTTTCAATCTTATCTTTAGGTGAATAGAGCTAAGATGCTGCATACATATTTTACTTCTGTTGCTGCTTCAACTACTGTTAATAAATTATTTAATATATCATATCTATATAGATATATGTCGAATAACTACTAGTAAACACTGAACACATATTAGCTTTCAAAATAGAGATACTCTTCATTTAATTTGTTGCGGTTTATTACTAAGATATTTCGCATTTATTTGCATTATATTAATTTGCATAGCATCGGTATTAATAAGAAACTTCTCCGCAGTGATGGAAATAGAATTACAGTCGGTTGACGAACTAAAAAAGAATATCCAGGGTTCCGTACCTCAAAAGAAAAAAACGGAACCCTTATAAGATCACTTTGTTGTCCGTCCGTCCTTCTGTCTGTCTGTCAAGACTCTTTATCTCGGGAACGCGTGAAGGTATCGAGTTGAAATTAAAATGATATACTCAAGTCTACAGTCCCTTGAAACTGTGAAAAAATCAAACTTCTAAGTTAAACAAAAAAATGTATATTTCTTCACTCTCAGTGGAATCAAAATTACATAGGGTATTTTCCGTTGACCTAGAACTATGAAATTTAGCAAATAATACCGTTCTTATACTACAAGTATAAAGAAAAATCTAAAACTATACATTTGTAATTAAATCATAAAAAAAACAGGATCTTTATGCAAGGAGACGCAGTCCAAATTTTGAATTGAGTTAACCATGTCATGTGGAGACCATATCGTATGACAGGGATTCATTGGCACAAGGTTAAACAGATTTTAAATTATTTTTATTATGTATAGTTTTCGATTTATGACGAAGAACGAAAAAAATCTCTACAAATTTGTACGGAACCTTCGGTGGGCGAGTCCGACTCGCACTTGTCCGGTTTATTTTTTTATTTAAACACCCTAATCTATGTAAAACTGTAGCTATACAGAATTTGAGGTATTGTATATTCATATAGAATCTATTGACTATTAGATTTTCTCGAGTGATAATTTTTGCTATAATTTGAGACACAGTCGTCTTACTTTTATCTGGATAGAACCTGTACTATGGAGCGTTCCGCATTGCACCGACTCCAAATGGGAAAACAGTAAGAGGCAGGATAATGACTAATGCTTACTTTAAATTTTCTTTTTTCATAATTCCTTATCGATTACTGCTAACTGCACGAATGGCGTAGTAGTTTAAGCAGTCGCCACGCCGCTTCCTACTACGCCGAGTGTTGTGGGTTCAAACCCCACATGGGATGACACTTTGTGTGAACCACAAATTGTTATTCTGAATTTGGGTGTTCTTTGTGTCTGTTTCATGTATGTTTGTAAAGTCCCCTGCGACACAGGATATATTCCTAATGCGGGAGTTGTCTTTTTAAATGACAAATAAAAAAATATTACTGTTATATCTATCTTGTAGTTCAAAGTTTGTAAGTAATTGAACTTCAATACATAGTTTGTTTACTAACGAAATAATTAAGTAAATACAATTAGAACGAACAATAACAACTTGAGATTTGTCAGTGGTTACATCAGTTAATTAAACTATGTTTATATTCTACGTTTGAAGTGTTTGTTGTACAGCTCTAGTAAGTGGGGGTGAGTTTATAATTACATGTAAATAGCCAAAAGGTAGACTGCGATTGAAATGTCTGTTAAATAGTATATGTATTTTTTTTAATACCTTACGAAATATAACAATATACTTACTTACACATGTAAACTTAGCCAGGTATTTCGTTTGCTGTATTCACACATTGAAACATTGCTTTTTTAAGGATGAAATATATATATTATATGTGTATATATATACATATTCAAAACTGATTGGAAATCTAACCCACGATTCTCGTTGTGAGTTCCGTGTAAAGTTCTTCACTTTAGAATGCATTTCCCTCAAATACGGAGAACACTCCAACAGCCACTTGACAACTTAAATGCATTATCCGACTCCATATTTTCGTGTGAATATTCTAGTAATTTTTGCGATTTTATTGCTAAAAAAACAGTTATTTATATAAATATATTGTATGTTGAACACCGCAACGAATTTAAAGTTATTTATAAATTTCAAGTAATTAAAATGTAGATGGAAAATTAAGCCTCATTTCGAGAAATCAAAAAAAAACCTGTTCTGTCTGTATTTTCTTGTACACTAGAGTTAAAGACATGGAAAAAAATTGAATCTTGTCTTGCCTTTCTAAACGTAGTTCTAATTAAAACATTAATTAATACATGAAACGATATTTCGTCTTAACTTTGTTGTTATAAAATATTCCCTTTAGAGTTACGAGTTTTGGTAAATTAGGCTGCGGTTGAAGATAGTGTAATGGATAGTTCAGAAATCTTTGACACATTATCATCATCAACAGCCTATACTAGTCCACTGCTGGACATAGGCCTCCTCTCCTTAGAAAGGAGGTTTGACACATTATGATGCTGGTATATTCCAATTTCTATGTTCCAATCACGACAGAACCCTCCGTTGTTCAAACAATCTACTTCTGTTATACCCCACTCATACTTCACGTGTCCACTCTTCGTTCCTTTTTTTTACGTGTGGAAACACCCCACCGGGGTTTGCGGCGGGGTAGTGTGTCGGAATGGGACCGACCACGGTGTGCCACTCTGCGCCTGTAATAGGAGGGGACTCCTATATCTCCGGGAACTGCTATTATTAAGACACCGGACTCCTCCTAGCGCCTGCCCGCAACGGCACCGGCACATTCTCTATTTATTATTTTTCCAAACACAACAACAAACGCTATTCAAGAGTATTAAATGTAGTGCCGACCCTTGAATGCCACTCCTCAGAATTAGGTAGGGGGTTGTTGAGTCACTAAGCCAAAGTCTGATATATGGGAATAAGAATATGAAATGTCGATGTACCCATCCTATACTGAATTCATCACTGGCTTATTTAGAAATTCACGTTTTGAATTTTAAAATCATTTAATATTCAAAACCTGTGTAAATTTATTTACTTCTAAGTGTTTCGCTCACTTCTACAACAAAATACTTGTTGGTTCTATGAATTCTGTTAATGAGGTTTTCCGTGTATACTTACTTACGTATTAAGTATTCATTGGGCACATACTGTAATATAAATCCCTCTTAAGTTTAAATTATGCAAGCTCTATAGAGTCTTGTTAACGGAGTCAAATGTATAATATTTTAAGTGTGTGTCTTTATTATTTATATACACAATATAATATGTATGTTATATATACCCAGTATATTTATGTAGTCTAATTTTCATAACACATGTTATTTGTCTTATTAATTTCAAATATACACCTGATACCCAGCTCTGCATCACCCAAAGGTTGACTGGTTATTTTTAGGGTTCCAGGTTAATTCCAAAAAATAAAAAAGTTGAAAATTAAGATAAATTTTGGTACTTACAAATTTTCCCGAAAATCTACGTAAAATCTGGGTAGGTACGGAACCCTAGGCGCACGAGTTCAACTCGTACCTTACCGTTTTTTTTTTAATAGTTATTTTATAACTCAGTGCAATAAAAGTATTAAGTGAAGTATTAAATTAAAAACAAATTTATCTTCTGGACATACATATTGTTGACATTTTATTACGAGCGGGAGCGACAAGGGTTTGGTTATTTAATGTCTAGATAATTAAAAAAAATTAACAAATTAAAACAGCCGTGCCAAATATACAGGCAAAGAAATTACGCTTTTCCTAAGCAGCAAATTAAAAACTGCTGAAAAAAAAACAGTTTTAAACGGTAATTGTTTAATAAGTTACCATTGTTCAAAGGCATATGAAAGAATTGTATATTTTTATTATTATTTTATATATATGATTGTAATTTTTTTGTTACTAGTTTGTACATGATTATAATTCTTTTATTTATTATTTTTACACATGATTGACATATTGACCTTTTGATTTCTGTACTGACATGCCCTGATAAAATGAATTTAATTATTTTACTTAAATCCTGAAATTCTTGAATGTCTGATTGTTTTGTTTGTTTTATAAAATTGTATTGTTACTTTTTATTATTAGAATGCATTGAAACTGTTTTAATTTGACCTAAAATATTTTTGAAATTAATGTATACTAATTTTACGTCGATGCATGTATCTATTTAAAAACTTATTATTTAGAGTAGATTGCACGCCAGTAATCTACTTTAGATTCAGAAGAACGATATCAGATGTAATGTTAATACCACTGTATACCCTTGATCACCAAATAAATATTATTATTATTATTATGACACCTTTGCTTTGAAAAGGGGTGGTGACACTCCGTATTCTTAATCCGTCACTACATGGACGGATATAGTAATTTGTATATTAAAAATTATATAATTTGTTTGTTGCAGAATATAATAATGCCTCACCAGTGGTTGGAAGGAAACTTGCCGGTTGCAGCCAAGTGCGATATATGCGAAAAGACCTGCGGTTCCGTACTGAGGTCAGTCAAAGAAATAATGTGATGAAACGATTTCATTTAACTTGTCCTGTCTGTTGTATTTTGTGATATCTAATAATATTTTGAGGTAAAACAACCGATGTAGGGCGACCTTCTTTAATATCGTCCATGAGCACAGACCACCCTCGACTAAACTTACTAAACCCATACACAGTTGTTTTTGATGGTGCTGCGTCCCCAAAGGTCGAAGTGAGTTGATCGATGCAGTTAGCCCTTTCCAAGAATCGTAATAAATCATAGCACGAAAATTTTCACGAATTAAATCCCTAGTGATAAAGACACGCAATTTTTAAAATGAGGCCACAAAGGATAAACAAATGACAGCTACATGAAACAAATTGTATTCTTCAGTCAAAGAGTTCCATTTTTAAATGTTATAATTACTTTTTTGATATTGGTCTGTAACTGGCCAGTTCTGGATACATAAATAGCATCCCTCGTAAACCCCGTGATAACAGTATCTATTTTCAAACTGAAATCATAAAATCAGTTTTTTGGTAGAAAACTTATATTGGACGACCTTCAAAGTAATATACAAGAACATACTTCGAGTAATCATTACGTAATATGCCAACACTAGTATTATAACGTCAACGTGAAGACGCGTACGAACGAGACGTGCTTAATAATACCAGGATCATTTGCCGCGAGATTATTTCGTGTAAGATGTGCAATATAATCTCGCAACGGCAAGATGTTAAATTAATAAAATTACCATTTCGTGTTTGTCATGAGATTTATCAAATCAAATATTTATCAATAATATAATGGTCGTAACTCATGGGGGTCGTCGCTAAGTGGTTACTGATTAGGTTGTCACATTGTAAAATTAAGCAATCCTAGCCAGGTCTAGGGATGGGTGTTCATTCTTAAATTTTCTCCGAGCCTCAGAGAGTACGATAAGCAGTTAGTTCCGGAAGCCAAACAAACATCTTTGGCAAACGTTACGGGTACTTGAAGCCCTAAAAAGTTCGACATCAGTATATCGACAGAACTTAGACTCTCCTAGAACTCGCCTAGTACCTGGGTCGTGGAGGTCTGATGGTAGTCGCAGCTCGGAAAAAAATCGAAGTTCAGCCGTGTCGTAGTACATTGAAAGCTGTACCCGGGGGAATGTACAATTGTAGTGGCATGTATGCGGTTAGAGGAATTAGAAATGAGACCTTGACTTATGACCTCTTTTTTTTAGTCCATTAAAAGTTATTCAAGCGTCTTTTAGTTGTAGTAGGGACTTGAATTTACACGGTGCCCGTACACATGAATAAGTTTTGAATTGAAGTGACCTTTTGAATTCGTATTTCAGAGCGTATACAACAATAACCTTTGAATATAATATATTATGTAACAATGTTTCCTAAATAATTTACGAAGCACCTACTGAAGGGAAAATAATTGTTTACCAAGCCTTGAAGTTTTGTATTACATATTATATTATTAAATAACTGCGCATTAAAACGTTGGGTTGTAAAAGTGAAGTGGTAAGGTAGATGTGGCGTGGCAAGAAGGCGCCTGAGGAGTCATTAGGCCCGCTTTAAACAAAAGAGCTCTTGCTTGACCTAAGCAGGTGAAAGTGACGATTAAAATACTGTAGCTAAGTTCTTTGAACCAAGAATAAACCAAAATAAACGTTTCTTTCTTTCTTTATTTACGTCGATTTACACCATGGTCACAAAGAGCGTGGCGCCGGCGTCTTCAAAAAGCGTCTATCTGTGATTCGCACCGTGGTGTCAATCGACGTTGAACCCAGCGATTTCTCGCTTTACGTGACGATTAAAATACCGTTAAACATATATATTAAACGCTATGTCGTTTTAAACGTTAATTTCCCAGTGATACATCACGGAAGAAAAAGTTTTGCCGATTTGTGTCGTATACATTTGTGTATTCAAGTCGCCATTAAAGACGTACTGTCAAAGTAGCCATTAGCACTTAAGCTAGTAATCAAATTCATATTGTCCAGAATAATTCCGTACAATTCTTCGTTTGTTAACAAAACTCACTTATCTAATTATCCTCGCCGAGCACATTGGCATGTTCGCTCAATAGCGAAAGAGCTTTATTTAAGCTTTCCACTAATTGTAATAGTTCTACCTAAGTAACATTGTTCGCGGTTACTTATCTAAGTAGGATTAACAGGATTCTGGGTTTTCCCAACATTGCATTTGATGTGCAGACTCCGGACTAAATAATAATAAAATCCCAAATAATATTCAGGAGTTGAGTATTAACAGATTTAAATCCGCAATAAAACGTGGCTTGTGCCAGAGGGCCTACTACTCGATTGTGGATTACATGGAGGACAAGAATGCTTGGGATTAATTAGTGCAGGCTATTTCTTTCTTAAGTAAAAATGTGGTGTGGCTAGTATGTTTTTTATTATTTATTTTTTTCTATTTTTTATGTTTCACTTCATTTTCTCTTGTATTCGTTTTTTCTTCTTAATCTTGTTTTCTCTTCATTGTCTTTTCACCTTTTAGTTCTTAATAACGGACATACTAGCACACATCAAAATAATGTTGTGGTATATTTAATAGTGCGATTGTATCTATCTGTAAATTGCAAAAGAGTGGGTGAGTGAGTTTGTTTGCCCTTTCTTCTCATAAGGCTCAACTCCTTGGAAACGGGCGGATGTAGATCGGCACAGGCATATCATAGATTTTGTATGGGTTTGATTTTTGTTAAATTTATTTGGTTACTATTTGACAAAACAGAGATTGTTGCTTTAGTGTGTGTTGAGTCTACATGGAAGACGATTTCAAACAATTTTGGAAATTTTATGAAATAAAGAAAGTTTGAGTTTGAGTTTGAATATCTGTTCCCTCTTATGTACCGTCCAAGTCGCTAAAGTTTTTCACAAAGTAAAACAATTGTGCATTAAAATGATGTTTTTTTTTTTGTCATATTTCAAAGTTTTCTGTGTACTTCTCAAGAATAAAAATTGGTATGTTCAGTGCAATCTAATGCCGAGTCCATGTTACAATGTAGAAAATACGAATACAACTAGTATTACATATTATAGTATAAACTAAACATATTAGTAGTATAAACTTTACGTTGTATTCACCCGACTGCCAGGGAAGGGTAATATTTCTCGCGCGTATCTTGTATGTTTATTTGTAAATTTCTTTATTACCTCGTATCTTCCAAATAGCTGGATAGATTTCTACAGATATTTATTCATTCGTCTCAAAAATCTAAGTGTCCTGTCTAGAAAAAAATGACGGAGTTTTGTCGCAAAATAGTAGGTAATAATAATAAGAAAATAACCAAACCTATCAACTAGGGTATCGAAATCAAGAAATTTAAAAGGGGATTACAAAAACAGTAATAAATATAAGTAAAATATAAATAAAAGTTATATATTTAAATTTAATAAGGATCGGTTTAAAAAGTTCTTGATAGCGTAAAAATAGGCCATGTTTGTGTCGGACCTCGTGTTGCTTCGGCCTTTTTACAAACTTTTATTAGAAGCTTTTTACAAACTTTTATTTAACTTGCAATGTACTCGTACGTATGTAACTATGTTTGTTGGAATCTTGCAACTCAATTTTGAACATCTGCTTGAAAATTGAGTTGCAAGAAGAGAAGTGAGAAGAAGTCTGCAACCGGTTGAGCTGAAATTTTGTATACACGCTTAGTTTGGATGGCAATGCATGGTTAACTGTATGACGTCATTCTAAATCCAAGATGGCGGAACACCCAAGATTGCGGACTAGTTTTTTTACTAGTTATAATGCACAATATGGATTTCAAATGATAATGATGCTGAGAATAACTTGAAAAATAAATTCACGTCACTAAATCGAGATGAACAGACTGAGAAACCTGTCCAGTGAAAACCAAAACCTAAAAAATAAATTAAAAGTGAAAACCTTTTTAAAAACAAGCCTTTATTTAAATACACTAAAAATAATAAATTAAACTTTTCCTTTAAACCTTTTACTGACAGCTTACAACGCCATTACACAATTTATATGATATAAAAGCTTGTGGCGACATTTACCTGTGTTGATAAACAAGTAAATTAAATAATTTGATCTGATTGATTTAAATTTTTAAAGTTTTCAAACTAAGTAAATACTTAAATCACGCAAAAAGCTTTTAAAAAGGTTTTTAAATTTATTAGTGCATTACTTTTAAATTGTCTTTTTGCAGTCCGGTTTTTGATTTTTTTAAATTTATTACTTATTTTGAGTTCCAACAATTATATTAAGTCCCGGCTTTTTAAAAAAATCCCTTCTAGAAAGCCATAGGATAGGATCTAAGTAGACAAATTAAAATCGCCTCGGGACGCCATGGCATTTTTTTTTAAACGCTTCCTAGCAAGCGAAATTACTAGTATTCCCGTTAACCCCTCCAGCTAAGCTAAATTGCTTGTGTTAGGAGTGGGTTCACGTCGGTAGTGTACTGGTCAGGATTCGAACCCCTAGGCTACCACCGCTTTTAAATTAATTGTTATATTGTTGTTTGTGCCGAACATATAACTATCCAACAGAAAGAGAGAAGATAGCGGCACATAGGAGCAGGCACATAAAAACAGAACGGCTACACAAAGCTGGATCACATTAGGCACAGAGCTAGGATTTTAGTCTGGTATAACACATAGGCTATTTTTACCAAGCAAAAATTTATTGACAAGGATATTAACTACTTTATCATATATATGGTAATAATAATAATATTCTACTACAATCAAACAACGCTATCTAGTCCCAAACTAAGCGGAGCTTGTACTATGGGTACTAGACAACTGATATAAATACGTATATATACTTTTTTTTGTAAATACATACATATTATACATAATAACACCCAGACCAAATCAAAAATTACATGTTCATGCACACATATGTTTAACTTGAGCGGGAATCGAACCCACGACTTTTGGACTAACAGTCCGATACACAAACCACTACGCCATCCGGTCGTCAATATATGTAAGAAAATATACCTTATCAGAGATCGATTGATGTTTAGAATATTATTTCATTCTCTCATACAGATTTTTTTCAAGTAAAAGCATCTCACATATAAAAGGACTAAAGTATTAGGATTTCAGAACTAATGAGATATATTAAATATCAGACCTTAAAAGACTATATCGACTAAATCAATTCGATTCTACATCAAACGGCAAGGATTCACCGAGTTTAAGTGCTACTTTCATTGTAAATCGATTTTGCTTCAAAATAAAACGCTGAGAAGGAGCTTCGCTTTATTGGATTTATTATTTTTATATAATATTAAATTGCAATAAAAGGATAAATTATAGATCACTCAAAAAAATCTTAAGCTTTTAAGTAATTTCATTTGGTTGCTACTTTTATACTTACAGTATACATATTCTTATGTTCTTATCTGTTATGTTGTATACCTTCATAGTCTCTTAAACACAAAATTACGAATGTGGCATTAATGGAAATTGGTAAAATTATATAAGTGTTTAAAATGACGCCTACTGTAAAAACAATTTGTGTTCGTCATCAATAAAATAAATAAGGAAATACACGTTTGCTTTCTTGAATGTTTATATGACTCTCGCGCGCTTAAATAAGATAAGATAAGATAAGATAATATTCATTTATTTATTCTTTTACAATATTTACTGACTCTTTTGACAATTTTTTTTTTTTTTAAAAAGACAACTACCGCATTAGGAATAAATCTTGTGTCGCGGGGGACTTTACAAACATACATGAAACGGACACAAAGAACACCCAGACTCAGAACAACAATTTGTGGATCACACAAAGTGTCGTCCCATGTGGGGTTTGAACCCACAACACTCGACGTAGTAGGAAGTGGCGTGGCGACCGCTTAAACCACTACGCCATCCGTGCAGTCAAACAATTATATAGGTATGCACATTTTACATTCCAAAACATGTTCGGCTGGCACTTAAAATAGGTAATACCTGAGCTATAAGTACCAGTAAATGGCTATGATGAGAATTAAAATGAATCGGTGTCTATTAGAAAATATACTTAAATAGATTTCACTGTATATTTTTAATTAGGACTCCACCTTTGTTATACGTAATTTAAATTAAGTTGATCACTATGAACATTAAATCGAACAAATATTTTTCTAACAACTATGTCTAAAATAAAATAAAAACTAATTAGTTGCAACTTTCACTCTCTCAATTAAATTCCCTTCCCGGTGACTAAGTAAGCTAAAAGTTGTACATTATGTTACTTTGCTATACAGAAACTACATAACAGTGTCATTTTTAACAACTGAACGGCAACAATATCTGATTTGTGCTACATCGGTTCGGAGTTGAAAGAGATGGGGGTGTAAAAACACTAAAGGTCGTAGGAAATACTTTACCGTAACCGTAGAGCTGTCAAGACGGCCTTCAACATGTTTAGATAAATATTGAAGAATGCATGTTCATGCAAGTAATGAAACGAAAATTTGCATTAGCAGCATTTAATAAATTTCCATTAAATTTTACAATCGACAAATACAAAACTTAGAAAAGATACGAATCTGTTGAGAAAATCAAAAAGAAATTTAATTTCGATATAAAATGATAATACTTATAACAACTGTTATCATCATCATCATCAACAGCCTTTAGCTGCCTTTAGTCCGCAGGCCTCTTCTTAGACAAGAGGTTTTGACCTACTATACCACGCTGGCCAAACATGGCTGGGGTTTGTTTCAAGTTTTCCTTCTCTTTTGAGTGCTGTTGTCCTGATATGATCTATATTTATTACTCCAATTTGAATAAAAAGAAGCACCCAGCAACCTTAACCAAATGGGTCTTCTTTTTGAGATTTTTAAATCCGTTACATTTTTATTAAGTTAAAACTTCAACTTCAAAAGAATTTGGAATTAGATTAAATTTTTAGATTTGAGAATTTTCATTTTCTAATTCGTATCTTTTTTCACTAAAACCTACCTTAATTTTCTTGTTTTTATGTACAAGCCACGTTACATCTCGTATCCTGCAGAACTTTATGTCATGGCAGCAACTTACTTCATTCAGTTTTTTTATTATACATCAAATCAATTCATGTTCATTCTATCACTTCACCAGTATCACCTTTATCTATAATTATAACTAATCCTTTAAAGTAACCTATAACGCTGGTATACTCTTACGCACCGTTATAGGCAATTTTGTAACCTATTGTAACCTTAACTTACGATTTCTTTCCTCAGACTACAAGACTTCAGATGCGTGTGGTGTCGCAAGTGCGTGCATGCAGCATGCAAGCCAAGTTGGCGAGCATCATGCACTCTTGGTCCAGCGCGGGCTTCAGTTGTACCACCAACCAGATTGCACTCTGTAGGCCCTGACGATGCCTGGGTACCAGACAGACCCGCAAATGCGTCGCCCCTTATTGTGTTCGTTAATTCTAGATCAGGTAAATTCGAATTTCAGACTTTATGAAATGAACTAGTATGTTCTGTAACAATTAACCATTCTTCCAAATGGTTTTATTTCAACAGGCGATAATCAAGGCGTTAAATTTCTCCGGCGCTTTAAGCAACTTCTCAACCCGGCGCAAGTGTTCGAATTAAGTGGGGCTGGACCCCGTCTAGGATTACGATTGTTTAGACATTTTGCGCCGCTGAGGGTGCTTGTGTGTTCCGGAGATGGGTCTGTCGGATGGGTGTTGCAGGAAGTCGATAAACTGGATATGCATGTAAGTATCTCATCAGTAACAGTGATTCCAGCTTTTGCATGCAATCTCACTATAGATTTAAATATCCGTGTGGTGACGGACATCCCGAGGACGTCGAAAGAGCTAACTAAAGCAAACTACGCAGGATAACAGCATCTCAAAGAGAAGGATAACTTGACACAAGCCCTACACCAGTCCGTCTGTTGATGATGAATTTGAATACATGTGGTATGTATGTGGTGTAGTAAAAGATTGGAAAAGAATCCCTGATGAAAGGCTTCTGTCAAACGAACACGAAATTAAAAATTTCTGGGTATCAGTAAATCAACTTTATTACTACAAAACTGTTTTTTTTTTGTTTTTTTCAAAGACAACTGCCGCACTAGGAATAAATCCTGTGTCGCGGGGGACTTTACAAACATACATGAAACGGACACATCCTCACGGACGGAATCATCTCACTGTTTTTTCTCTTTACCAGCGTCAAGTTCAAACGGCAGTGCTCCCACTGGGTACAGGGAACGATCTGGCACGTGTGCTGGGCTGGGGAGCCTCTTGCGATGATGCTGCTAACCTACAAATACTCATAGAACGATACGAGAGGGCCTCTACAAAGATGCTGGACAGGTAATAACTTCACAATAATTTCTTAAACACAGCCGTTTGGTGCCAAACTAGGCAGAGCCTCTATGGTGATCAGGCTGCTGGCAAATATACTTATATATTTCCAAATACATATATATATTACAGATACATTACACCCAGACATAGAACAAATGATCGTGCGCATCACACAATTATTTGTTCTGGGTAGGAATCGAATCCACGACTTTTTGCTTGCTTGACAAGCAGGTACAGCTTTAAATTAAAAATGATGTTTTCTGGCAGGTGGTCAATAATGACGTTCGAGCGTGCACTGACTGCTCCTCCACCTCCACCGGTTCCTCCAGATCTTGTTGAGGAAACCTCTCTCCTCAAAAATTTGCAGGAAATCATGCAGGTAACGTTTTCTAGTACTCGTCAGCCATCAGTGCAAGTTTTCGTTTACTGAAATAACTAGCTTTTGCCCGCGACTCTGTCCGCTTGTATGTCGGTTATAACGGTAAAAATCCCATGTCCTTCTTCAAAAACCAATCAAACTGCCTCCATACCAAATTTTATCTAAATAGATTCAGCTGTTATTGATTCCCCATCAAAAATTCTCCCTCTTTTCACCCCCTTGAAGAACGATTTCTGAGATAAGACTATTTTATGTCCTTTCGAGGGACTCGAACTATCTCTATACCAAATTTCATCTAATCGATTCAGTCTTTTAAGCGTGAGGAGGTAACAGATAGACAAACAAATACGAAAGGCGTTTATAATATTAGCATGGATTACAAGTTTTTAAATATTTTCTATGTATAATTCCTTTGAAAAAAAAATCTAAGTATTTTAGGGTTCATAACCCAAGCCTTATCATTTTCTGGTTTGAAAAACCCCTTACATTATAGAACTTAGTAAGGCTCTTGGCTAAGTGGTAACCGAGTAAGTAAGCACATTGCAAAGTTGCAAAGTCAGTCTATGGATGGGTTGGAATAGTCATTTTTAACACATTGAAAACCTTCCGTGCCTCGAAGAGCATGGTAAGCCGTCGGTCTAGGTGGCCACACGAACATCTGTGGCAATCATTACGGCTAGTTGGAACCCTAAAAAGTCTGACAATAGTGTTCTAGGGTGAATTTCCGTGCGTTTAGGCGATTCTACCATACATATTATAGAAATCAAATATAGCTCACCTAGGACCCGTAATATTTTGTGGCCGTGGTGCTTCCCTGTTTAAAATGCCTATTTTACTTCATTTTGTCTCCCGCTTTACTAAGGAGGGAAGTGGATTTACTGTATTTCCAACTCCTCCAATTTTCTTCTGATTAATTTCGTTGCGGGTTCCAAGATAGTTTAATTTCTTCCTGGGACTTCCCGGCTGCCATAACTCTTTGTGATCGATGGTCACTGCTGTGGATCCTGGTGAACAGGAGCTACAGTGTTCGTGTGGGTGGGATTAGTGCCAAACATTAAAAAAAAATAGTGTTCTACAGAACTTCAATATCGCGTAGTACTTGGGTTGTAATGGTCTGACGGTAGTTGCTCCGCCTAAAAATTCAGTTGAGTCGTATTACTTATATTGGACTGTAAGCTGACCCCAACCTAGTTGTGGTAAAGGCTCGGTGGATGGATGAATTAAAACTGTAATGAAACATACAGGCTGGTGAAGTGAACAATACGGCAAGTTCATCCCTCCGATCGGGATGTCTGCAGCTTGCGGCGGTGGGAGAACGCGCGGGAGGCGGCGCGGCGCGGGCGGCGCATCGGCTGCGCCGCGCGGTTTCGCTACTACTGCATGCGAGAGTGCACCTTGCGCACGACCACATACGGTGCAAGTTAGTATACCTACCCTATGGACTTTTCGTGACGTTTTAATAGTATAGGAATATTCTAATATTGACGTATGACCTAGGTCCTGGGAGCCACTTGAAACGACTAGTGATAGTGAGCCTGAAGCACAACCAATTGCTGAAAAGGGCAGCATCGAAAAGACTGAAAAGGTAAATCGAGATTTTGTCTTAATTAACATTGTTTAGACTTGTTAAAATACGAAGATGGAAAAATAAACGAAAAAATATAACATGTGGACTGGAAATAATAATACGCTCTTATGTGCTACAGCTAAAACATAAACATAATTTTTTTTTTAATAATATTTGTAATTTTCCATATGTTTTATATTGACTCTACTTTTTTTTTCAATATCATTGGGTTTTTTAGTCTTAACCTAATTGTACCATACTACTGCGTCTTTTTATAACACAGTAACAACAAAAACTTGAACATTTTACTTTGAAAATTGGAAAAGTACACATAATTTATACTGTAAGATATGAAATGTATATGTGTATACGCCATTTAATATGTTATCGTATAAATTCAATGATATAAATGAGTATTTTATCTTAGTATTCCATTTGTCAGGAGCAGCTAAACTGGGCAGCTCGTGAATGTGCGCTGGCCAGCCGAGCGGACAGCGTACGCAAGGCACTGAGGTCACTTGTACGAGCACTTACGCAAATATACCCACAGGTGACTAATTTAAAATGAAACTTCACTAGAAATTAGAGTTAGTAACAAGCACCTCAAACGCCAAAATCCCTTAAGCCGTTTTGACTACAGAGCGCACCAAAGAAATAAACATACATACAAACACTCTCACAGAACACAATTTATAAAAAGATCATCTTCGTCTGGAATAGTATATGCAAAAATATGTAATGTACAATTATATATTATGTATATATTACAATGCAGTGTCCAACCACAGGACATACATAGGACAGGGTCTTTGCCACTGTGAACTACTGCTCTCCCAGTGCCACGTCCCATTCGAGACATGCCCCCCCCCCCCTTCCTATCTCCTACGCCCTATCCGTTTTCTTTACCTTCTTTTGTCTCGTTTGAAAACGACTACATTCTGAAAACGTGGTTTCACAGGCAGGTTGTTGGCCACAAAAGAAACGATCCAAAACGCTTCCAATATTATGCATTGCGCTGACCCAAAATAAAATTGATATATGTAGGTGACAACTGTACAATAAATATAACGTCGTACTTCAAAAAATACCAGAAAGTTTTAAAGTTTCCAACAAATTAAATACTTTCTTTAAAATGTTTGTTGCTTGACATACAACAATCGCTGTATTGCATTTGACCCACAAATGGACTTTCTGATCCATATATTCTCGACAACCGACGGTTGTCGTAACAATATTTAAGATACAAAAGTACTCTGTTTAAGATATTTAACAGAATTTTGCCACAACACACGATGTAACAAAGCAACCGAAAAAAATCTTAGTTCAGGAGTAAAACTTCGGTTCGGTAGTAAAACTTTTTAGACAAGAGGGTTCATTTATTCACATTGTGCACAAAAAACAACTACTTTATATATACATACACAACGTAAACTTTATTCTAAAATCACTTGATTTTACTTCGACCACTTCACATTAAACATTATAATCACCTTTTTTAACTTTTGGACTTAACGTAGTTATCATTACGTTAGTAGTTTTCGATAGTGATGAATGATTTTCTCATTTACGCATCGAATTTCTACTTACGCAAGAATACCGCCCTTGCTTTGTGTTGTCACTCACTTCAGAACCATAATGAATCCTTAATAATGTCTCCTTGCAGGGCATATCAAACGACGTAGAGTTCTGCGATAACTGTGATAGTTCAGACACTAATACGGTTGCTGGCAATAACGCGGTTGAGGGCGCCGAAATGCCTGCACCCGCATCTGAAATGTCAGCGTTGCCTGTGCCACGTGCTTTCGCCGATAGTCGACGGTCGTCGGCGGCGTCCGCCGTGTCAGCCGCTTCTTTACATCCCGACAAGTAAATTAATTAGTTCTAACTACAAATTATAAAACTACGTATAATAAGTTATATTTAATATGTACAACTGATCTTAATTTTTTTTAAAGCATTCCAGATGTAGACGAAGACATAGTTAAACTAATAAGCTCAAACAAACCAGGGACTTTAAATTTAGATGTGGATAAACCAGAACAGAGCAAGACTAGCTCCACTTCACCCCAAGACAGGCTCTCACTCTCCAACCTCTCCTCTTATGACACAAGCTCCTGTAAAAACCTAACGAGACTTGATCTAGACCACGCCACATTTAGCAGTAGTCTTACCATACCTAACTTAATAGTCTCCGATGATAGCGATAAGAAAGATTCGATAATACAGGGAGAAACTTATGAATCGGACCAATTGACTATTATAGACATCGATAAACCGTATAATTCTGATGACGTACAATATGAGATTAATACAAGGGCTGCCTTCACGAGTGGTGAGGTTACCCCAGAGAGACGTTTATCAAGTATAGACTTGGAGATCGAAGCGAGTAGTTCTGAAGGGTCCAATATTAGCGATGACTTTAGTTTAATATCGGAAATCATTGATGGTAAGCCTGAGGAGACTGAAGAATCAGGGTGCATCGGACATATCGATTCGCCCGAAGTATCTGATACAACATGTATCAACTCTGAGACCTTGCACGGAGAGTCAATTATTGATGATATTAGTTCGATGCTTGGACAAGATGTTCTATTGGCAATGATGGGGAAGAACGGAGAAAATGAAACGTATACCGATGATACAACTTTATTTACATCGGACACTGTGTCAGATATTGCAATGGATAGCAGAAATCCGAGTTTAGAGAAGAACAAGGAAACGAAAATGAAATACATATCGAAGGCAAAGAAACCGAAGGAAGGAGAGGTTGAGAAGTTCGGCTTCGAAAATAGAGTATTCTACATCGAAAATGCAACGAAGGTAGAGGAACAGATTAAGTATTGCAGTTTAGCACATTTCGAAGAAGGAAATGACATCGCACGGAAATCATTCAAAAAGCAACTAAGGAAAAGTTTAAAAAAACGGGTAACAGAAGACGTGAGTTTGATACATCTAATACCAAAGGTTCGTGAGGAAACTGTAACAGAGAAATGTGATGAAACTCATAAAGATGTGGAAACACCTAAGATTTTAGTTCAAAATAATGACATCTCGCCGTTTCCTCAAGTGAGTGTAGTTGTAGAACCGCCTTCGCCATCACATAGTGATGAAAAGAAAAGTTTAAAGAATTGTCCAAGCCGAATGGCATCAGTCCTGAGTGACATCTTTGATCAGGGAACAGATACTTTAAGTGTCAACTCGCCAGAGCCAAGCCTAGGTACTGCTAGAGAAAGGCGACAGTCTGATAACCCAAAGCTTTTAGGCTCAGATGCTGAGTATGGTAAATTTTTGAGCTGCTCCCCTGCAGCTACTAGGCGAATATCATGCGGGAGTCTTTTCAAGCCTGGAGAGCCTGACAAGTAAGTCAATGGTTTATTTGATCCTTTAAAATCAATAATATGAAATCTTTTAAAGTTGCGTGAGACAACGGGCGTTAGTGACAGCGTTGTATCTGAATGAACAATATAATAAAGACAGTTGAAAAATGGCGGGTGAATAGCCACTTCTGTAGGCACATTGAACTACAGGAGTAACGAACTCGCATTAATGTCATAATTTGGTACAATCCCATTCCTTTTATTTACAGACATATATTTGGATACATGATACACATGTACATTAATATGGCATTATAATAAACTAACTTATAGGCAACATTTTGTCTTACATATGATTGTGCCGACCCATCGCTCATTGATCATTCTCATTCATAAGTATAATCGGCTCGGTATATAGAACGATATGTAGGTTCGGTATGATATTTCATCAGACCGAAGTGTAAGAAATATCTACGATTTCCAGGAAAAAAAACGTTTTTTTTTTTCTAAAAAACCAATTTTTTTTTTGGAATCGTAAGAATTTGAGCTTCCAGACAAAATTGAAAATAAAAATTATAAGTTGCTATCATGTTCGTAACAAGCAACATGCATTTCATAAAAATACCATTTCCTTTTATACAATATTATTTAAAGGCAGTTTCAAATGTCCATATGTAAAATTCGCGCTTCATAATTCAAATATTATTTTTAGATTATCGACTTCTGTATCTTCAATATGGGGGGAGGGAGGCGTTACCCAGACTTCTGGTTCCAAGTCTGACTCCAGTGACAAAGAACCGAACAAGAAACTCCCCATCATCAACCCGTTGGTCCAACTGCCAGCATGGCCACATGTAACCCAAGGATTTATTAGCCAATGCCTCTTGGCAAATGCTGATGCTCTCTGCGCTGCAGTCAGTCCCCTCATGGACCCAGATGAGACTCTTCTAGAAGGTTTCTATGAGAAAGCAGTAATGAACAATTATTTTGGTATTGGAATTGATGCGAAGATCACTTTGGACTTCCACAATAAGAGGGAGGAGCATCCGCAGAAATGTCGATCGAGGGCCAGGAACTATATGTGGTATGGAGTGCTTGGCTCCAAAGAGTGGGTGAACAGGACATACAGGTAAATATTATTTAAAATTTGAACTTTATGTTACTACTGTGTCCGGAGGCGGTTTTCTTGGAACGGATCTGTAGAACAGCCGTCCCCATCTCCGAATCTGTGACGGGTAGAACACCGTCCTCCTGATTCACCAAGTCGTGGCGTGACGTGGCAAAAATGATAACGAAAGCCTGAAAACGCATCGAAATGAGTTTTTTCTCCTATAACTTTTTTATAGTATACGGGGTAAACAAGCAAAATGATCGCAGATCTTTAAATGCACTTACCAGAATGAGGGAAGGGTCTCCGGTATCCTGATTCTATAAAATATCACGACTGTATTTTTTAAACACAGGTTTTTTGTGAGGTCGTGGTATTAGACCGATCGAGCTTAGTTTTGAATGCATGGTTTTAGTCTTGTATGAAAAGTTAAGTTAAGTTTATTTTCCTAGGCACCTGGGCCAGCGCGTTCAACTGGAATGTGACGGACAAAGGATACCATTACCAGAGCTTCAGGGTATCGTGGTGCTGAATATCCCATCGTTCATGGGGGGTACTAATTTTTGGGGCGGGACGAGAGGTGATGATATATTTTTGGCGCCTTCTTTTGATGATAGGATTCTTGAGGTGAGTGAAAACACCTACTTATTGTAGACTATCAAATACTAATGGATCACTTTTAAGAATCATTTATTATTAAAATGAGAAAGCCCACTTAAAACATTGTTTTTAGGAAAAAAATAATGTCTTGACTTTGATAACACTTTAACTTAGTTTAGATTCTATTAATAAATTTAAAATTTATTTAAAAGGATCGCAACTGAAAGGTAAATGTAAAAATAATTTTTATTTCTCCCCAGTAAAAGTAACATAAATAGTAATTTAATGTAATAAAAATAAAGAAACTAGAAAAAGAATTTGCAAGTATTTTTTAATCACTAAAATTTCATTACTTTTGGTTTATTAAACTTTTCTTAGTTCTACACCAACATACATATATATAGAAGGCCAAACGAATATGGTCAACGCCGGACCTTATTACATGACTGCGCGGATGGCGTATTGGTTTAACCGGTCGCCACGCTGAGTGTTGTGGGTCCGATCCCCACATGGGACGACACTTTGTGTGATTCACAAATTGTTGTTCTAAGTCTGGTGTTTTTTATGTCCGTTTCATGTATGTTTGTAAAGTCCCCGCGACACAGGATATATTCCTAATGCGGGTGTTGTTCTTAAAAAAGAAATGATATTATTGTGTAGCATATAGGTACATGATACTATAAAGTTACCTTTTTCATTATTACAATATACTAAATCATGTATTTACAAAGATAATCATGTATTTACAAGTAACATTCCTATTCCAGTTTATTGAAACATATACATTAACCAGGACGTTAAAAGACTACAAAAGATTCCAACACATCAAAATCTGTCATAGTTTTTGTTATGAGTGGCTTAATATGTAATAAACATATGAACTAATAAAACCCTTGACTATCCCAAGTTTTGGCCTTAAATTCGAAAGTTTTCAATACAACTTTTGACTGCACGGATGGCGTAGTGGTTTAAGCGGTCGCCACGCCGCTTCCTACTACGCCGAGTGTTGTGGGTTCAAACCCCACATGGGACGAGACTTTGTGTGATCCACAAATTGTTGCTCCAAGTCTGGGTGTTATTTTTGTCCGTTTCATGTATGTTTGTAAAGTCCCCCGCGACACAGGATATTTTCCTAATGCGGGAGTTGTCTTTTTAAATTAAAAAAAAAAAAAAAAAACTTTCTGCCATTTTCGGCTGTAAGCCTGTAGTTGTAAAGAAAAACATATTTGGTCTTAAAGATTTTCCTAACCTGATAAATGTTCGTTAGGTCGTAGCAGTTTTCGGCTCAGCGCAGATGGCTGCTTCCCGTCTAATCAACTTACAAAAGCACAGAATCGCTCAATGCAGAGCTGTCCAAATCAACATATTGGGCGAAGAAGGCGTACCAGTTCAGGTGGATGGAGAAGCGTGGCTACAGCCTCCGGGATGTGTTCGAATCATACACAAGAATAGATCCCAAATGCTTTGCAGGTCCAGAGCCCTTGAAACTAGTCTTAGGTTAGTGAACTTTAGGTTAGTGGTGGTTGTTTTATATATTGGTAGATGGAAAGTAGAAGATCTAGAGGCTTCAAAGAGATATCTCAATGACGTAGTTAATCCTGCACTGCTTAACACACAAGCGGGTTACCACAAACACGCCGACAGTTTGTGGTGCCAAGGACTGCAGCAAAACACCTATCCTTAGATGATTCAGAATCAAAGGTGTAGGAAAATAAAATCTTCCTTAAACCTTAACCGGCTATTATAATATGTATAATATGTATGTATTTACAAAAAAAATATATATATGTATTTATATCAGTTGTCTAGTACCCACAGTACAAGCTCTGCTTAGTTTGGGACTAGATGGCGTTGTGTGTATGTGGTAGAATATATTATATTATATTATATATTATACTAGCGGACCCGACAGACGTTGTCCTGTCAAATTTGACACTGCGATGGTAGCGCCGTCTGTCGGATCCAATGTAAAACATTCCAAAATCAACAACTACTAATAAATTAAAAATTAATTAAAAAAACATTGTCCAGCGGACAAAATTGTGAATCTAAACCATTCCCAGATCCCCTTGAACACACACAAAAAATTTCATCAAAATCGGTCCAGTCGTTTGAGAGAAGTTCAGCGACATACACACTCACAGAAGAATTATATATTATTTAGACAGAAGTAAACAAAACTACGTGTATACTTATCCTGACTGTAGCATAAATACGGAGAAAACGACTCTGGATCTTTGTAAATACGAAATCCAACTCACAACGGTGTCCACCTCTGATACCTGTATGGTCTGGAAACCTAGTGAGTAGTGAGATGGTTGCAGGGATGTTAGATTGTTGTGAGCCAAAGCTAGCTAGTATAGATGTGGCCGCCTTTTAGGCTCTAAAAGCTGGTATTTGAATAAAAAAGTTGGTACACTCACAATAACGTTATATTAATAAAATTAATAATAATAAATCGTTTATTTGTATGTTCTTTTAAAATAACTTTGAATTATCGAAGAAATTCTTGATTATTTGAAAAAAAAACATACCTGATAAAAAATTAACAATATTAGTTATTATTAATATTATAACTAATAATAATTATTCTCATTATTCGTTGACGTTTTTATTATGAGATCTTATAAATGTCTATACATAATTTGCAAAAAAATAAAATAAAAATCAACCGTGAGTTACATTGACCGAATTTTATATTATTTTCTGTCAAAATCATACCGTAAATCGGACGTAATTTTTTACAATAATCAATGTTGTAACTATGACGTAAAGCAAGAAGTGAGATATTGTTAAATGAAAGTTTTTTTTTAATGTATGATCAATGTAGAAAGTTGGTATTATTGCGTACCAACACAATATTTAGTTGGTACATGGTACAAGACCCTGAAAAATGCTACGTATACCAAGAAATTGGTACGTCTAACATCCCTAGATGGTTCACCAATATTATAGATCAACCAATTATGACTGCACGGATGGCGTAGTGGTTTAAGCGGTCGCCACACCGCTCACTACTACGCTGAGTGTTGTGGTTCCGATCCCCACATGGGACGACAGTTTGTGTGATCTACACTACCTACTATAGTACCTTTATAATACCTTGTAACTGTTTTGTAATACCTAAGAATTTGATTAAAAAGCTTCTTACTATGTCGTATACGAAAACTAGAAAACACTTTAGTGATAATGATAACTAGAAGCTTTGATTGCATGGGGTTTGTAACACTAAGTGCCATAAACAGCAATGGCGATATTGCAGTTTATGGCATTTTTGGTTAACATCAACTTGCAAAGTTTGTTTTTTTTTTAAATATTAAAAAAGGTTATAAAGTACTAAGGTTGTCTTACACTATCCAAATTAATTATGTACGAGTACTGCCAGATTTGGGTTAATCTTGAATGTACTCATAACATGCGCTTTAAAATTTATGTACTTTTTGTAAAAATTGGTAAGAAACAAATTTTCTTAATATTAATCTTTTAGTTTTATATTAAATAGTACTTTTAGTGTAGTTGACAAAAGCTTAATTAAAATTCAAAAAGTTTAATCATGTTTAAATTAATTAGAACTTGGGACGAAAAGCAGCAGCAGAAGAATGCCTCAGCCGCTTCAGCTGGCGGACCGGGCAGTCCACGCGTCCCGCTCTCCGCAGCCGAGAACGCACAGCTACTGGCGCTGCTCGATGACGTCAATACGCTTGTTAAACACGTTAGTACCTTATTTACATTGCGTTATTGAGTAACAAACATTCATCCATCGAATTTTTCGCATTTGTAATAGTAGTCTTTTTTTTTTCAATTCTTAGTTTTCCTGTGTTTTGTCCTGTAATTTTCTAAAATAATCATCATCACATCAACAGCCTTAAATAGCCCACTGCTGGACATAGGTCTCTTCCTTAGAAAGGAGGTTTTGGCCTACTATACCACGCTGGCCAGACGGGTTGGTATAGGGTTTCCGGCGATGGCCTCCTTGGCCGGAGACGACGGGGAGCACGGGGAGGATAATGTTCCGCCCGTCCGGGATTCGGAGGTAGGGGCGGCTGTTCTACGGATCCGTTCCAAGAACACCGCCCCTGGGCCAGACGGGGTACCGGCCCGAGTGCTGGCCCTGGCCCTCAACCACATGGCAGACCGCCTCGGGGAGGTGTTCGACGCTAGCTTGGCGTCGGGACGCTTCCCTGTGTGCTGGAAGAGCGGGAAGCTGGTCCTATTGAGGTAGCCGGGACGGCCTGCCGATTCGGTCGCGGCCTATAGGCCCATCGTGCTGCTGGACGAGGCGGGCAAATTGTTTGAGAGTGTTCTTTCTGCCCGCATCGTCCGGCACCTCTGCGAGGTGGGCCCCGATCTGTCGGACGCCCAATTTGGTTTTCGGGCGGGGCGTTCGACAGTCGACGCCGTGTTGCGCCTGAGGGCCGTGACCGAAGAGGCCGTGAGCTGTGGCGGCGTGCTGTTGGCGGTGTCATTAGACATCGCCAACGCATTCAATAGTCTGCCATTCAGCTGCATCAGGGAAGCACTCCACTATCATGGGGTACCAAAGTACCTGAGGCGGCTAGTGGCAGACTATTTAGAGGAGCGTACCGTCGTGTACGAGGACCGAGAAGGTAATTTGAGGTGTCGGCCCATGTCGTGCGGTGTTCCACAGGGGTCTGTTCTTGGACCCCTCTTGTGGAACATAGGGTACGACTGGGCCCTTCGCGCCGATTGCCCCCCCGGGCTGGGTGTAATCTGTTACGCAGACGATACCCTGGTGACAGCCCGGGGGGCAAACTTCCAAGAGGTGGCGCGCCTGGCCACAGGGGGAGTCTCCCTGGTGGTCGGGCGCATTGAGGCGCTGGGCTTACGGGTGGCCCTAGATAAGACGGAGGCCCTGTTATTTCATGGGCCCCGTCGTGGTCCACCCCCTGGCGCCTCAATCGTGGTCAACTCGGTCCTCGTACCGGTTCGGGCCCAGATGAAATATCTGGGCCTGATCCTCGACGGGAGGTGGCTCTTCGACGAGCACTTCCGACAGCTTGCTCCAAAGCTGGTCGGCGCTGCGTCTGCCCTAGGGCGACTTTTGCCCAATATGGGTGGACCCAGCGTCGCGATAAGACGGCTGTACACGGGGGTTGTCCGGTCAATGGCACTGTACGGTGCACCGGTGTGGGCGGCGGCTCTGACCGCCCAGAATAGGGTACGCCTCTGGCGCCCTCAGAGGGTAATGGCGGTCAGAGCCATACGCGGTTACCGCACCGTTTCGACGGAGGTGGCATGCGCGTTGGCCGGAACTCCCCCGTGGGATTTGGAGGCGGAAGTGCTCGCCGAAGTTTATCGGCGAGTGGCTGACTCCCGGGCGGAGAGCGGATTTCGCCCTCCGCCCGAGGATGTGCGCGAGTGGCGCGAAGCCGCTCGCCGAGCCACGATGGCTCGTTGGTCGTTCCGGCTGGAGACTCCACGCGCTGGCTTCGCCGCCGTGGAGGCTCTCCAGCCGGTCATCGCCGAGTGGGCAGGGCGGCAGCACGGGGCCCTTTCCTTCCGGCTGACGCAGGTGCTTTCCGGGCACGGTTGCTTCGGAAAGTACCTGCACTCGGTCGCTAGGAGGGAACTGAGTCCCGCCTGCCACCACTGCGACTGCAGTGAGGACTCGGCCCAGCACACGCTGGCGGTCTGCCCCGCATGGGCGGCGCAGCGCCGGGCCCTCACTGCAGTCATCGGAGTGGATCTCTCGCTACCGGCCGTAGTACGCTCCATGGCCGGTAGCGACAGTTGTTTTACCGCGGTCGCAACCTTCTGCGAGGTAGTAATCTCGCGGAAGGAGGCGGCGGAGAGGGCCCGGGAGGACGACCGCCACTCGGACCCGATCCGCCGCCGGCGAACCGGGCGGCGGAGGCCCGCCTATCACAGCCTCATGCCGCCCTGAGTGTGGCCGCGGGTGGACGGGGTGGGTTTCCCCTCCACCCGCATTAGTTTGGCCAGCCGCGAGGGGGCGGCGTCCGCGTGTGCCGGACGTCGCCTAAAAGAGAGGAAAATATATTGAGACGGAGCCCGCACCAGGAGCGGGCTGGCGCTAGGAGGGGTCCGGATGTCTTAACAACAGCTGTTCCCGGATCCCTCCTGTTACAGGCGCAGAGTGGCACACCGTGTGGTTTTAGTCGGTCCGAGTCCGACACACCACCCCGCCGCAAACCCCGGCGGGGTGACGGTCCGAGGGGATTTCCACACGTTAAAAAAAAAAAAAAAAAAAAAAAGGGTTTGTGTCAAGTTTTCCTTCTCTTTGCACTGCTGTTGTCCTGCGTAGTTTGCTCCCTTAGTCGGCTCTTGCGACACCCGCGGTATGAATAGGGGTGGTGACATGCCGGATTAAGAAAATCCGTCACCACACGAAAAATTTAATTATTAATATCATATTTAAATCTAACACATGACGTCGTACTGACAAAGTCTTAAAATTATCAAGTTTATTTTATGAGATTAATATTTTTAAAGATTTGTGTATTGCTAACAATACTAGTTTTCAAACAATATTGGTTCTCGGTATCGAATTAACGGTATCTGAAAGTATGCCTTTTAATTGCCTGACTTTTAGACCAGGATATCAATTCTGCTATTTTAATTTAGTATTAATAGACTGTCGTCGAAATCGTGCACTTTTCGTATTCTACTATGTAAGACCAATGACTTGTCACTGAACTGCCACTGATACAAATGTCGACGATGTCTTTGTAATAGTTTGGTAAACACACGGTACATTTTAAATTTGTGAAGAGATGATAATATTTTAATTTTCCAGTTATGGCAATGTTGTTGATATCACCATTGATGAGCCATTGTCACTACATCTACATTCTATTGACACTGTGAATTTATGTTATTAGAATACCGATATTTCGGCCGATGTCAAAGGCACTTCAATAGCATGACATTGGCTTGTAGGTTAACAGAAAATAGCAGAATTGAGACCCAGGTTGTTGCACTGACACCGGTCACAAGTTGACTACCTTAGGAATATCTCTAGTGACCAGAAAGTTAAAAGAACTAAGAATCATCCATTAGAAAAAGTGAGCTATATTTTTTTTATGGCTTACTGACGGTGGTCTCAGGGTGACTGACGTTTTTTTATCAAAGTAGGGGCAAACGAACAAGCGGGTCACCTGATGAAAAGTTCCTACCGCCGCCCATGAACGCAGTTCAGGAGTCACAAGCGCGTTGCTGGCCTTTGAGGAAGGAGTACGCTCTTTTCTTGAAGGTCGTATCGGTCCATAATACTGCAGATGATAATTTGTAATAACTCAAAACATATATTAATCAACTTTATACCGTGATATATATTTTCATCATCAACAGCCTTTAACAGTCCATTGCTGGTGATAGGCCTCTTCTTAGAAAGGAGGTTTTGGTTTACTGTACTACGCAGGTCTGTATATTTCAAGTTGTTCCTTCTCTATGCAGAGCTGTCACTCAATCTGGTTCGTTTCCTTACTCGGCTCTTACGACATCCACGGGATGAACAGGCGTAGTGACACTCCGTATTCTTAATCCGTAACCACACGGATAAATATATATTATGATATATATGGCTAAAGCTATTTCCCCCCAGGTGAAACTGTCATGCATAAGCGAGACAGCAGCCTGCGGTGGTGTGTCTACTGGTGTACAAGTGGCACGTCGGGTCGCAGCTCAAGCGGACGCATTACAAGACACTGAAGGAAAGTTAATACCCGCACCGCAACTTAGGAGACTCCTTGCAACACTTGTAAGTTTATTACATTGTGGTGTAGGTGGGTTATTTACCAGCTGGTGTAGGAAACTTCATCTGCGTGGAAATGTCTCTAAAGTCAAAAAACCATGTTAGCCATGTAAAGTTTAATTCAATATTTCATCACCTTTTAAGTATATTTCGCCAATGTTTCGCCAAGTATCCGTCGGAATCTATAGGAATATTCATGAAAATTTGTTTAGTGGTTAAGGCGTGATTTTCATGCCTTTTAAACAGAGATACTTTTATTTTAATACTAATAATCGTATCCAACCAAAAGTTCGTTTTCAGTTACGGTGTAATTTTTGTACTGGTTACCTATACTTAGTTTTTTTTGGGGGGGGGGGGGGTAATTTTTATGTACGGCAGTTATTGTCAAGTCAAAATAGTTTCTTTTCAACTTTAAATCATCATCAGCTTTACTCGTATGAAATAGCAACCTTCCACGTAACACTTCGCTACCTTCTCAAGATTAGGATGAAAATAAATCATCACCGTTTTTTTTTACCACTAAGGATTCTAGGTAGTAAATAATAGACCTAAGATTAAACATTTTTCTCCCGGTTATATGAATCTGCGTCGTGTGTCAGGTGGAGAGTTGCCACGAATTAGTGGAGAGCATACCGGGCGGTGGCGCAGGCGCCGCGGCCGCGAGCGCTCTCCGCGCGCAGCTGGCGCGGACGCAGCTGCAGCACGGGTACGCCTTCCTACACACCGACGAGGTATAATACCTTACTTTTTTATTATTCGATTTAAGAAATTCTGACTCGATTTAGACAATCGTCACTGACATGAGTACATTACTATATGATATGAAAATTATGCCGATGCGGGTAGAATATAAATAAAATAGTTAAACGAATCGACAGCTAGGAAGCGAGTCCGCAGCATTCCAGCGATAAAGGGGTGACCCAAGTGAAATAATTTTCTTTTTATTAAAATTTAAAATATTCTATTAAAGTAAATATACAGTATTTTAGAGAATAGCTCCTAACACGAAGACAGTCGATAGTGCTAATCATATCTTTGAAGATATTAATAAAACATACAGGAATAAAAAGCTATACCGTTATATAATTAAATAAAAGAGAGAGATAATTTAATCATTACTTTTTTAAACTATTTACGATATACATATAGATAGTTATTTAGTCTGTGTAACTAACTATTATTCGTTATCACCACATCCCTCCCAGTTTTCACCCATTCGAATCCCCAAACCATATCGCAGATTGTCCTTAGATGGCATTCGGTTATACTTTTGAACCATCTTTTGTAATAATTTTAAAACTATTCCTAACATAATTAGTTAAATCAGAAAAATCCGTGCAAGAGTTTACTCTAATACGCCTAAATCGTGTCAAATTGTAACAAACTTAATTCTTCATTCCTTAATTTCTATCCCAAGGAATTTTTTTCTTATTTAAATAGGACCTAATGAGAAGTATAGAGTTTACTGCCCAAATAAAAAGGAATTGCCCAAATCGGTTCGTAATTGAAGTTCTGAGATAACAAACAAAAATATACACAACCGAATTGAGATTAAACACATTTACAAATAGGAAAATCGCACAGTATTTATTAAAAATGTATTAACACAAATGCAAATCTTATTACTTAAATTATAAAGACCACAGTTTGTATGGATGTGTCACGCCACAATGTCTGAAAGGATCTGGATACAAATTTCCACATAGATAGATTATAGTCTCTAATAGCACAAGCTACTTTTTATAACGAAAAAATGTATTGTTCTTGTGAGATGAGCAAGGTACAACAACAACCGCGCGTAACACCGCGAGGTGCAGCTTCCTTAATTATGTGTCCATCAAAACCTTCCGCGTAAATATCAACCGTTACTGCACTAACATTCAATACATAATCCTAACGTGCACACACTACAGCATGCCAAACTCCTATAGATGCTCACTTATCCTCTTTTTCATGTCCCCCTCTCTACCCCTTAGGTGCAAAAGAAAGGAGGAGCCAGCCGCTGGCTTCGCGGTCGACGAAGTGTTTCTGAAGGCCCCACAACAACATACACCGCGACTCAAGTACGCACCTGGGGCGTCAAGGAAGTCCAATCATGGCTGGAGTCACTCCAACTTGGAGAATATGCGGAAGCTTTTGCGAAACATGATGTCACTGGACGCGAACTTCTCTCTCTCGCTCGGAGGGACTTAAAGGATTTAGGAGTCACTAAGGTAGGACATGTGAAGAGGATTCTGCAAGCCGTTAAGGAGCTGCAGTGACGACGGCGAGGCCACTCCGAGGGGGATGGCCATTGCTGAATGATAATGCTGGCAGTGATTTGTTTTTTCTTTCATAAATATTTTCAACTCTTGAAATATATTTTTTTCTTCTGATCTTACTACATGTAACTTATTATAATTTTTAAACAATTTCAACAAATATTATGTAATAAACTGGTACCAGAATATGATGATTAATTGTGAAAGAAAAACCAATCACAGATCACCGAAAGATAGATTACTAAGCAATCAGAATCTGAATGTTTCTTCTATTCTAAATTTAAACAGTAACAGCAGTTCGCAACACGGTCAACTTGTACCAAATATTCATGCAATAATTCAATTGCTTACGATCATAATAAATGGTCATACCATTGTACATGAATTAGTGAATACAAAAAGCACTGGCTAAAAAATACGTGTTAGAAATCCTATATACGATATCCTCGTATAAACAGAAGACTGAGAACTGTAGGATCACATACAAAATATACGCACGACGACATATTTACACAAGGTCTTAGATTATACTCATAAAACTAATAAAAAGCTGATTTCTTTTAGAACTATTATTACGTAAAACATCTAGTTTTAACTTCTTTTTGCAATCACTTAATCACCGTATTAATAAGAAAATAAAATAGTCTTTAAAATAACAACATTCTCTTAAGCTACGATAAAAGAATTTAAAATAAAATGGTTTGGAAATTGCATAGTTATTGATTCTAACACATTTTTTAACTTCTTTATGTAATATATCTCATATAAATATGTATACATTTAAAGATATTAAATAGAACAGAACAAACTTTGATTATTTATATGACATTCAGTCCAGGTAAATGTGTATGGTGCCTGGTGAATTCAAATGGTATTATGAAATGTTTTAATTAACCTCCCTAACTTCTCGAAACGTAATACCTTCTTAGTCTTTTTACATATTGCTTCACAGAAAATTTACATCGACATTTTCGTCTCGATACTTAAAACGTTTCAAGCAATTAATTTATTCTAATTCAAGTGTTACATTACTATGGTTCTATAACAGCCTGTACGAATTTATTAGCAGAACGTCAATATGTAAATAACATTACAACATATTTATTCAATTTCATACAAAATTGGATAGTTAAAAATAATTTACAAAGAATATTGTCGTGTTTTAATTTAAACCTAAAAATAAATATATTCGTACCCTATACAACTTACCAAAATTGCCTTCTAAATTCAAATATTATTTTTAAGAATTCGCAATCGGGACCACTGTTATAAAATGATACCAGTAGACGCCACTGGTAAGTAAGGTTATTTTTATGTCAATTCTTTTCTAAATTCTTTCAAGCAATATTATATCAAGTTTCTATAATCCCTGTTGATAACATGTTCTACCTAAAAAAACGACTATGATAACGGATCCTCAACTAACTTTAGAATTGGGTTGCTGGTTACTAGAAGGTTCAAAAGCCTGAAAGTTACCATATTTTCTTAAAAATATCGTAAGACTTTTAACAATAATCGTATTGTTTTTGATAAAGTCCTAATCAATGGTATCCAAAGAACCATCTCTATATATATAAAAATGAATTGCCGTTCGTTAGTCTCGCTAAAACTCAAGAACGGCTGGACCGATTTGGCTAATTTTGGTCTTGAATTATTTGTGGAAGTCCAGAGAAGGTTTAAAAGGTGAATAAATATGAAAATGCTCGATTTTTTTTTAATTCCGAGCATTTTTTAATTGTTTTCATAAAAAAAGGATGCCTTTTGTTTGTTTATTTTATACAAAAGTTTAGGTATTTTATTTATCAATTGAGGCAGTACGAAGTCTGCCGGGTCAGCTAGTATTAAATATATTTTAATTTATCTATTCATTGATAATAATTTTCACTAGAACATTCAACATAATAATAAAAGGAATGTAATAGAAATTGACGTAATGACGGGAAATTTATGAGTGATTTTACGGTTCTTTCATATACGAACAGTTTAATCAATTACAAAAAAAGTAACATATAATCATATACTAGTTTTTAGTTACAACATTAAACAATTAAAGTAGTTAAGTAAGTAAAACAATGCAATATTTTCGTTATACACACTTTCGCATTTTTAAATATACAGCACAAATTTATATACCTACATAATAATATATGCACAACATAATAAATCAAATATAACAACATATAGGGGTGTTTTCTTAGTTATTAGGTAATTAAGTACATAATATTATCCACAGGAATACAAGTCTTATGTCTTATGAAATGTACGCCAGAAACATAATTGGAATTATTACTATGACTTCTTGATATGCGTATTTCGTAGCCAGAAAATTATTTCTTCAAGTTCAACAGTAAGCAATAAATCATATGTGTCTAGAATTTCCCATAACCCCCTTAAGGTGAAGTGTTAGTGTAGGTTTGCGTAAAGAGGGTGACAACGTGGCGTGACAAGACGGTCAAGTAGATTTAAACAACCCTTGTTTAGGTGTCTTATTGTAAACACAAGCAATTTCAAATGTCTGCCCCTTGTGGCAGACAACCTACTTTTATACTGTTAAGACTATCTATAAAATGTGATCTCTTATTTTTTTTATACCTTTTAGATAAAAAGCTACGATCGCGTGGGATGAATGCTACCTTTATTATAAACAATGACTTTCGATGGACCAAAGATTTTGGTCCGATCGCCTTAATAAGAGACCGTTTCGCTGACAAACATAAAATAAATCAAATCATTTTCTTATTATTTACTATTTAGCTGACAATTCTTTCACGCGATCGCCTCTTCTTGTATGATCTGCCTTATAAGTGTTTTTATATGTATAATGTATCTCTACAGATTCACCAGTTACATATGTACTAGTGAGTACATAAAAGTGTGTACCTATACTTGAATTTATATTAAACATTTATTAAAATACTTTTATAAACTCGATCTAATCTAGTAAGTATATCCTCTGTGGACTATAAGGAACATTTTATGCCTTAGATGAGTTAGAATTATTCCAAATAATAAGAGAAACTGCGTTTTTATACGAGGTTGTCAACGAAAAATAACTATACACAAATACTTTTATTCATTTTGTCTGTCTTTTATAAATAACATAACATAAATATATAAATAACACAACTATAAATAACACTCTGTAACAAATAATTAATAGTAATAGTGCCAGAAGTGAAGTCGATTGTTTAATTCACTTGCAATTGAAATAACATTGCTACTTCGTCTAAAAACGCATATAATATACTTATGTACCTTATCTAAATATTATATTATACTTATCGATTAAATATATTTAGGTATTATATCTATTCTTGTATAATTTCCTCGACAAATGCTCACATCTGGAAAAAAATCGCGAAATATAAATATTGTTTGAATGAAACTTATGCGATGTATTTAGGAAATAATTGTTGAATTTCGAACAATTTATTTATATTTACGTGGTTTTTTTACATGTAATATATGTATTTTAATGATAATTATGCAAATAGATGTTTGATATTTCTTTGCTTTAAGTTTTTAAAAACTTTTGAATTCAGTGTTTACCCAAAAAATAACTGTTTACTGGGTACTAAAATAATCTTTGTCTATAAAACGATTGTCGTTTGTTCGATATACTCGTAGACTCACAGTCACTCACTAAACCATAGATGCAGAACAAAAACTACAAATATCAAGTACGTAGTTTTCTCATGAACATTTTAATATACTTATTAAGAAAATGCATTATTAAGTATACGAAGGTCTTGCGAGTGAAGGATATATCCGTTACGTTTTGTTCTTTCACAAGCTCTTCTTATAAAGATTTAAACACGAAGTATAAACTAAATCTAATAATAAATCACTAAATAACTAAACTAACTAACTAACTAATCACTAAATCACTAGTGTCTACACACTATTGATTTAGTTTTACTTCATGTTATGCACAACTCTTACTATCTAGTGAAGGGATTCCCAAACTATTTTGGGCAAGAGACCCCTTTTCTAAAATTAACTGATATATCAGACCATAGCCATAGCTCATCCACTTGTTGAGTTTTTAAAAGTACAAAAATGATACTTCCTACTAAAATATTAGTCATTCTTATAATAAGTTGGTACACGTAACACAAGTAATACAGTATGTTGAAAGTTTAAAATGAGAACTTGTGGATTTTTTGACCTCGTCGACCCCCAAAATCAGTGTTTGTTTATTAGACCCCGGGGAACCGATTTCGACCCCTAGGAGTCGATCTGATTTAGTTTAAGAACATAATTTCAACGAATACTCAAAAACGATACAAGTATTGTAATATTGTTCCAATCACATTAATAATAAAAATAATATCGATTTTACTGATTAATCTTTATTCATGAAGTTGTCATAATATATAACTCAGTTTTCCATCTTGAACGTACCCAGTAGTCAGCCAATGTAAATTATTTCCTTATAAATGTAATCATATCAATATATTTAAGTCTCTTTGTAAATTTACGATTTCCATTAAGCAATAAGCATCGATTTTTCGCTTCGATTTTTCTATTTAGATGTTGTACTTATTTTATACACTTATTTTAATTTTGGCGGCAAACAGATAATAACATCGAGCTCTTAAAAAAAATCTCACATAAAATTATATATAATATGTATATTTACAATGACATTCAAAATCAATATGTTAACTAACTTTGAAACTACATTATGTTGATGAAAAACCTTTTATTTTGCCATACGTTTCGACCACGGCCATGAATCCAAAGGTCTGTACTTTAATACCTATCAAGATAAAATATAAGTCGATGTTTGTCTGTTGTCTCTGTCTAGTAACTTTTTTCGTTATTATAAATATTAATCTTTAAAATGAAACATACAGATTGTTTGTGGATGCTTGCCAAAATCAAAATAATTATTTACGTTTAAGTTATCTAGTCATTGTAATTTCAATAAGTTCCTGGTGCAAGTTGTGAGATTAAGTACAGAATGCTATTAATAGGCATTGAATTAGTTAATTTTC